TACGAGTCTCGATGGGTTTGATATCCCTACAAATCTCAGAGCTCGATCCGCCTGCAAATGTCGGAGCTCGATCTCCCCGATGCATCCTTTAGATAAATATGCCCTTTCCTAGAACAACAATGGTAGCGTTTTTCTCTGTTGTTGTTTCTTAGAACCTTCTAGTATAAAACCACACCTATTCCCTTTCATTTAGGGTTTTTCTTCCTTCTTTCTTTCTAGTACCTGCGGCGCGCTTGAGCTTTAACTGAAGGAGTGCCGATCGGCGATTTGGACAGAGGCGTATCTCACAGACTCCGATCAATTTTCCAATGGGTACGTTCTCTTAAGTTTTTCTATTCTTCTTCTCGCTCGTTTCTTCCTTTTGCTTCTTGTTCTTTTTTTCTCTTTTTCGACGGCGGCATCACGCGTTCCTTAAACGAGAAAATTTATGGCCGGTAAGCTGAATACGCCTCCTCATGGGTGGGTTTCCTTGATCCTCTTTCCTTCTCTTGTTCTTTTTCTTCTTCTTTTTCCTTTTTCTTCTTTTGCTCAGTTTTTCTGGCGATGTCCTGCTTGTCAGGCACAGACCGAGGCGCTAGTTTGGGTTGTGCCGGTGGTCGGGCGACTAAGAGCATGTTTGTTTATGAAAATTTTTGATTTTGTTTGGATTTTTTGGTTTGGTTTGGTTAATTTTGAAAAAAGTGGTATGGTTAGTTGTTAGTGGGTATATTAAAATAATATTTAAAATAAAATAATTAAAATTGATTTGATGTAAAAGTAGGAAAGAGATGATTGAAGTGATAGTTAGTTAAAATAATGTTAGTAGATGAATAGTGAATTAAGGTTGATGTGGTGTGTATGAATGATTGATTGATATTATTTAATTATATTAATAATATTGATGATAGTGGGGTTGAGTTAAAAAATATGGTTGAGTTAAAATGTTGATTTTTTTTTTTTAAATTTTCCATAAACAAACATGCTTCAAGCCTTCTGTGGCTATTGAAAATCGATCCCTTGAACCTGTTGGTGTAACCGATGGGACCTCCACGCGGCCTTCGGCGCCTCCCGAGATTCGATCCCGTCGTTGCTTAGGTGTGGATGCTATCGGCGGCTCGTCAACCTCACGTCATGGCATTGACGATGTTAGTCAATCGTTCATTTTCGAACCCGTCCGCCGTCCTACTAGCCTCGACGGTCATTGTCCCTGCCTTGCTGAACTTGCGGAGTTATCGTTCGAGCCTTTGGCCGAGACCCACGTGCCTTTCCTGGTCGATCAACCCGAAGGTGAGTTGAGTTGAGGCGAGCTCCAAGGTTTTGTCGATACTATCCCTACCGGATCGATTCGTTTAGGTGGTCTCGACTTAGGTGTGCCTCAGACTTCTGTCCCCGATTCTCGCGGCCTTTCAACCTCCGTTGTTCCTGACTCTTTTTCAGAGCCTTCTTCTTCCGATTCGCCCTCGACTCATTCTAGTCGACCCAGTCAACGTGCTTTGCGAACTGTTCCTCCTAAGCGTAGGGTTAACCCCTTTTTTCGTGCTCCGTCGAGCGAGATTGCTCAATTCAAGACTTTATGTGAGCTACCCGAAGGTTGAGAGTTTATTGTTCCTCAGCCTTCCGAATCTTACGACCGCCCCCCGGATTGGTGCTTCACGTTCTTCAAAGAACAAATCCGCCTCGGCTTACGCTTTTCTGGCCTTCGTGACCTTCTTGATTTGAGTAATACGTTTAACATTGCTCTCAATCAACTTCCCTCTAATACTATTCGCACCATGATATGTTTTGTCATCTTGAGTCGGGCTCGCTTGGGGAAGCTCGATCCCGGTTTATTCTTCTATAGCTATGGGTTGAATTTCAAGAGAGACTCCCGCTCCCACTATATTAGCCCCCGTAATGGTGCCCTTTTTATCAAAAAATTGCCTTTGAACATCCCCGCTTGGAGGACGAAGTTCTTTATCATCCGCCCTCCCGCTAACACCTTCTCATTTCCTTAGACTTGGAGGCACAAGAAAATGTCCCAACGCAAAAAACCTCGGCCCAAGGCTAATCCCACATGGAGATCGATCATTGAGGACTGGAACAAGCATCCGGTCGATGCGGTGACACTCGCGGCGGATGTGAGTCTTCGTTGCTTTGCCGGTTTGACTGTGGTGGAGGAGCCTTTGACCGACACCATAGGTATCTAGTGATATATCTTTACATGTTGCTTGCATAGGCGTTTTTCATTGTTTATATGCCTCATGCTGCTTGTTTTAGTGCCTGGATTTGTCATACATGTGTGTCTTGAGATATCGACCTATAAGGTGTGTTGCTTGAGGTATCGAGCCATAGTATGCGATCTATGGCGTACGCATATGGCGACCTATGTGTGTCGAGCTATGTGCGTCGATTTGCAAGGTGTGAGGTGTTCGATGTGTTTTATACTTGTATGTTATTTTTTTTTATACTCGACCCGCGAGGATCCGCGGGGTGTCGACCTGCGAGGTATCGACCTATGAGGTGGTCGATCCTTAAGGTGTTGTTTGTTATGCACTTGTTGTTATCATTATTTTTCCATGTGTGTCATCGTTGTTACTTTGCTAATGATCTCTTTCTTCTCTTTTTCATAAAATATAATTGCCCGCTCCGCTACAAATAAGAAGTCTTCCGGCCCCCTGGTTGCTCGAGAGAATCGACCTCCTGCGATGGATCGATCTCGTTGCCCTACTCCGAGGAACACTTCTCCTCCACCCGAGCAACTCAATCGGCATACTAGGTCAAGTCGTCCATCGACACCCCTACGGAATATTGCGAACTCGACTCCTGAGCGGCTTGATTCAAAGAAGCGACCTCGATCTTCTCCTGGTAAAGAGGCCGCTCCGACTGACTTTGGACCGAAAATGGATCCTAGCATTATCAGTCAATATCTACTTTCTTGCCTACCGGATATCGAGGTACATCGGTATGACGGCAAGCCCCGTCAGC